AGTAAAGAGATTTCTGTCGCCGGTGCAGCGCTATCATCAGGCTCATCGCGGTTGACCCACAAAATTGACCTGTTCAGTAGGTACTTCTCTGTAAAGGAAACTTAACAGTTGGAATGAAAATCAAATTTCTGCTAAGTGTTGGCCCAGGTTGGAATGAAAAAGGTCGCAGAACTCGCTGATGCCGTGCACTGCTTTTATCGCATATTTCACACATTGCCAAGGCTTCATTTTTGCTTGCCTGGGACTTTTAATGCTGCTGGGATGCAGCCATATACCGACGCTTGGGCTGCTTAACTTTTTTTATAGCTGTACACAACTTCCTGTTTGATCGCACTGCCTTTTCAGTTTTCCCAAATTACCGCTTCTACCGCCTGTACTACTCATGTTCAGTGATCGCCCATCAGCTATCAAACTGAACACATGTTGAGCACACGAAAGTCAACACCAACAAAGAGAATTGTGTCTGTAAGCTCACTGGGCAAAATAGATCGATGCTGCTTCCCTCTGCATTCCTCAGGATCCACATGCCGAAGGCTGTATCATACTGCATAGCTCATCTTCCTCCCAAGACTCGGCGAAGTTCTATGCGGATATAAAATAAATAAGGCAGAGAAAATGCACGCATTGTCGCTGTGTCTTAGGCTTTTCTACATTACGACGCTGTCATTGTTTTGCTATTGCGGGTTTGGTTCCATGTTTATCTGGTACTACAGGTTCTTTTGCGTGTAATAGACCTGTGACATTGATCCACTGTTGTTTCACCGTCGTGTCCCTTCTCACCACCCATGCAGGGTGCAGCTGCTGCAGTCTCTGTTCTGGGCACAAAGCGCATGGGCAAGGACACATTTCAAGCATTTCGCATCCGCATCACTCCGCACAGCATTCGACTGAATTGTTCCAGCTCATTGGCAGCCTTTACGATGTACCATTGCAGTGGTTTTTGAAAAAACGTAAACTTCAACTTAGCAATGTGGTGAAACTCACTTATCTAGCGAAACCACAACGTTTGTCATTGTGCTGTGCAGGAACTTATTCATTCTTTCTCCGTTACTTGTTTTCCTAATTCCTCATCATTACAGAGCCCTTTGGTCAGAGAGGAAGTATCTGAGGTGGGAGCCGGACTTACGGAAAAGTTCGCCAAGTATACCTATCTTCTGCGAGCGCCTACTGGAAATTAGTCAGGTTTATGTGAAAGTGCGAACGGTGATGTCCATTGTGTGGAGTACTCACTGCTAATTACATTTATCTTTCCATCTCCAAGACTTCCTTAGCTCCCTCAGATTTGACTTCACAAATCATTTCTTGAGTGATTTGCATGCTTGATTAAGCAAACAATCCGGATAGCGATGCACGAGGCTTACCGACGCAATCGTTCATTTTTATACGCCTTTGCATATATGCAAGTTGTACATAGGTTCCATGCTCCTGTACATAGGTTCCATGCTTAGACGAAGCTTACCATACGTTTGGTAACGTGCACGCGAATAGCAAACATTTTCAGATAAAACTGCTTCCTGCTCAATCTGGCTACCAACTTAATTGGGTACAAACATCGTCTCGAACTAAAAATTCACTTGCACACACGCGATAACTTTGCACACTTTAAAACTGAATTTGAAATATTTAGGTCGCATACTGACAAAGAACATCTTAGTAAAGTTTCAGCTCCCTGGCATGACTGATTAGCGAAGCACTTTTCATTACACTTATCTTTAACTGTCCAGAACTGAAGAACGCGATGTCTTTTACGCCTACATGAGAAAGAAATATTCTCGTAAAGTTAGAGCACTTTAAGCTTAGTTTCCCACTTGGCAATTTGCCAACGATATTTCAGTTTCAATTTCGATGTGTCAGTATACGGACGTAGACGTGAGCTAAAGTTAGGTTTGAAATCTTTAGCTCGCACAGGGACATACAATATCCTTTTGAAATTTCAGCTCTGTGCCTTGTCTAATTCCCAAGATCGCTTTCCCACTGAAAAATTTGCATAATTTCTTTCAGACATCTTTGCGTGAGACCTAAGCCTACTGAATGATAATATTAAAATGGAGAAATGCACATGGGATGGGAACACATTCCAGAATTTTCAACATACTGACTTCTCTTGTTGCTGACTTAAAAGTGGGTGGTAAAATGTGAACTCTGGAAATCTCAGTCACGTGGCCCATGACTTTGTGTGGAACCAAAGAGCCGTGTTTAGTTCAGGTCTACCTCTATGTGCCTTAACTTTTGGTATAAGATGTAAAAAGCTATAACAAGAACCACGAAGGTCAGATCTCTTGAAAAGGGCGGCTATGCAAACAGCGTTGAATTTTATTTTGTCGCGTGGTGAGGATGCTCATTTTATGTCCCAAAACTATTCCTTGTAGATAAATCGGCAGAATAAATGACCGGAATCAATCTATAGTTTCTTTTTATATTTTTTGATAATTGTTTAATTATGCAATTAAGATGGTCATATTTGTGTGGAATTGTACTGAAGCATTTGCAGGGCGTACAGAATCTGCAGCAAGGAAGCGCAAGGAATAACGACTCTGGCACACAACAACGAGGCAACTTTTAAACCATGCTGTTCTAAATTTTTGTTTATTTTGAATGTGCGCAAATTATCCAATAAAGTTTTAAACCAAGTAGCTTATTGGGGTTCGGGAATGGCGACGGACTAGAATGTTGAGGCAGGGTCGGGGAAAAAGTTTAGTAACAGTAAGCATGCTGAGAAGGCGCTGCGCTGCATTTTTTTTTTTGACTAATGAGTCATACTGACCACTGCGAACCTGAACAATCTAGAGATAATGCAGTAAAAGTCTTGCAGCTTGGCGAAAGACAGAAATGGCGTCGTGGCATTTGGGACCGTTAGGCAATAAAACCCAGGCCAGAATGCACCGAGCTTGCCGGTGCGACCGTGCGTCCTTGCATCAGACCTGAAGTAGTCAGGTCATTATTAGCTAGATGATTGTTGCTTCACACTTACCTTGTGCTCTCACTAGCACAAATCATAGTAAATTTTGCATGAAGGAAGTGAACAATTCCCGTTTAACGGTCGTTCTTTGAAAATGACCTGACTGTTCAGTGAGCAGTTTTCTCGCCAAAACTTTTAAGTACTCGTACATGGAGACCACGCACAGTTAGGGGCTGAATTTAAAATCTTTAGATCGCACGTCAAAAAATATCCTGCAAAGTTTCAGCTTCCTGTCATATCTGGTCCCCGAAATCGCTTTCCAGCCAAAAAAAATTCGCAAGTTTTTAAGGCGTCCGTACGCGGTACCCAGGCGTACGCGAATGATAATATAAAAACCGGAGGGTCACACCGGTGTTGGGCGCATAATTCCGAAGCTTTAGCTTTCTAGTTTTTCTGGTTCTCGAACTGAAAGTGGGTGACAAGACGTACGAACATACAGACAGACAGATAGACAAACGCATACGCAGACAGCCTTTTGTCAGTATGCGTTTTTGCATTTACCTGTATGCAAAAACGCATAATAATTGATCAACACACAGACTGCCATGCGAAGGTGCTTTTTTTGCATATTTTCCTCGCAAGTTTTCGTTGCTAACGGCACTGTTTTTTCCAGCAGATACTTCTAGCTAAAAGAATTAAAACTGGCTACCACGACTGTCAAAAATTATTACAATGGTCTCAATCCATGCTCGAAAAATTCAACACCTTAGATGTTTCGGTCGCGAAGTTACGTCAAATTTCACGTGAGAAGAAAAGTAATGTTGTCTTTCCGTGTCCCTGCCCAAGCACAGTCATGGGCCACTTTCAGAAAATTTCAGTACTCCAGCTGCTCTGGTTACGGAGTTGCGCCAGATTTCACGTGTTCGTACATGAAACGCACTAAGGACATGAAAGGGGCGTGAAAGTTGTTTTCAAGTCTATCTGGCCAAGCGCCGCAGTCGGCTACGCTCAGAAAGTTTTGGACTTCTAGTTGCTTCAGTTCCGGAGTCACAAAACTGTCAACATCAAATTTCATGTCCTCCGCACGTGAGATGCAAAGGACCTGGAAAGCTCAATTTACTTTCAAGGGCACATCGGTGAGCGACAAGCAAAGTTGCGAAATTACGGCTATCTGCACTTTCTTGTTCAGCTTAATTCTCGAGCTGGCAAGGTGCCAATCCAGACTTTTACGTCTACCTACGTGAGACCTAAGGGATGCATGAACGCTGAATTAAAATCTTTGGGTTGAAGGTGGACAAGGAACATCTTCGTGAAGTTTCATCCTTTTAGCTTGCGCGTTCCCTAAGTCGCTTTTTCGCCAAAAAATCTTTCACGTGCCCGTATGTGAGAATCACATGGACATAAGCGTCCATTTTGAGGTTTGAGACCCGTACGTAGGTGTAAATTGCCAAAATTTCAGCTTTTTAGCTTTTCTAGGTCTCGAGATGAAAACTCGGTTGCTTTTGCACACATAGACACACACACACGCACACATACACGCCGACACCCTTCGACAACATGCGTTTCTGCATTGCGTAGATGCAAAAAACACATAAAAACTAAAAACCGAACTCGAGTAACTTGTTGTGTCTTTCGGCGAGGTTTGCGATGACGGACTGGCAGCTGAAAGACGAGGGGTAATAGAAATTCCAAAATGACTAAAAGAAGCCACCACAGAACGATCTGGAACTCTCAGTGTGCACTTGCAATTGTAATTCCCTATCAGACCACTTCTCCGGGAAATCGATAGGACATCACGCGATGTCCCTTATGAGAAGATGAAGTGCCAAACACATCGTAACTTGTTAAGGGGGAAGTACTGTTTTATTGGTATAGAAGGAGGAATTTGATTGGCAGAGTGATTTTAAATTTCCCTAAAAGGAAGGACCGTGTCCACCGTTTTAATGCCGCAGTGTGATCGGCAAAGATGCAAGAGTGTGAAGCTTGGTCGTTGACAAAAGCTAAAAGCGAACGCTGACTGTGACAGAGAGGGAGAGTAGTAAAATGGAAGGTGCCTGGGGTACCCATTCTTAACCGTCCAAGAAGCCAGTCTCTTTGTCAGATGAGCAGTTTGCAGGGTGTCACTAAATGCTCACGAGGAAGTAAGATTTGACGAGGGGGACATGCTGCTCGCTTTGAAGGCAGCCAAGGGGCGTCACATATAAATGAATAGTGCGTGTAATTTAAAATACAAATCTGTTTTATCTTTTTGCCATCTTTGGAGAGGACTTTTCTCGGGAGGTGAAATAACTTATTATTTCCCATCCAGGCAGAGGATCAAACGATAGCGGCGTTTATGGTAGTGAATCTCAACCGCAAATGAATTATCCTGGTCATCAAGGTGGTGGGTACGCAAATCAACTAGGCGGATATCCAGGCCAGCTGGGCGGATATTCAAGCCAGCAGAGCGGTTATCCGGGCCAGTCCGTTGGATATCCACCTCAGCCGGGCATGTATCCCAGTCAACCAAGTGGCTATCCAGGTCAACCCAGCGGATATCCAGGACAATTCAGTGGGTATTCAGGTCAGTCGAGCTATCATCCAATTCAACAAGACAGCTACTCTGGAGGTTACTCTAACCAAGGATCTGGATATCCTAGTCAACTAGGCAACGTCTACGGAGCGGCTGGCGCTGGTAAGTCTTTTTAAGTTTCCAATATCAGTTCGATCTTTGAGTCATGCAGTGCGAAGTAGCAGTGTTCGGCTCAACAGTGCATGCTTTAGTAAAAAAAAAGATAATGACTGCTCTCCAAGAGAAAATTCCTGACATCTTATTTAAACGTAAACGTATATATGAGAATTATTTCTTGAAGAATGCAGGAGTTAGTTTTACTGCGCACCCACTAACTATTTATCCGAAAATTGCTAGTATATTCGAAAGAGCAAACTGTGCTGTTCAGTATTTTCATTTTCGCTTGTAAAATTTTGTTTGCTTGTCATCACTGTCAAAAATTCTCCTTTCACGACTCACTGGAAGGCCAGTAAGTCGTGAAAGAAGGCTTTTTGACAGTAGAATAATCAGAAATTTGACTACTAACAAATTTTTATATATGTGATTAAAGCTTCTGTGATTGTCGCTTGAGCGATTCGTTTGCTGAATTACAAAGACCAAGCCACAGAGTCCTCATGCTGGAATATAGGCCCTAAACCAGTCATTCTTATAATACACTGAGTGGCAATATTAACCTTTTTTTTCTGTACACCGGCATAATTTTTGTAAGAATCATCCGAGAATGTTCTTTTATGCATGCACAAACTTTATAGCATATGTATGAATCACAAACTTTCTGGATGCTTTTCAACAGCATCGGAGGTTTCTCACCAACTGCCTAATTTCTTCTCAAGAACTTTTACCTGCTACTAGAAATAGTACTTATAAAATGAAAGTAGGGCGTAGTGCATGGATTTGGGTTGTAATAGAGCCCGTCGATAATATGAGTCAGAAAAGTCGACAAAGACGCCCATCTGACCGACGAAAAGTGAACATGTGCGGCATTTTTCACGTGGAGATCGCACATTGAGACGTTGTAGATTTACTGCACCGGCAGCGCGGTTCAGGATATCAGAACTTGCCTCTTAAGCAGCACTGCTTAAAAACGGCGCCTGCTTCTTAAAAGTAATTGCAAACAAAATGCTTGGAGTTGCTGCTGTGTGGGACATAGTGCAGGACTTCTTCGTTGCCATAAGAAAAAGTAATGTCCTCAAAGCAGAACAAGTAACTTATGCTAGGGGTAACCAGTGTGCTTCGCATATCAGTCAGTAACTGCAACAGAAAAAAAAAACGGCCAATCGAGTGACCTTCATAACTATATGAGCAATTTTAGATACGACAGGTTCAGGAGGCGAATAACTGAGGATGGCTATCTGTACCTAGCATTTAGCTGCATCTCAGTAACATAGCTGCTTTCCCATAGTAATAATCTATATTGAAATTTTCATCGTGAGAATTTTTCATCTTCTGCACCAAGAGGATAATTTTAGAATTTTTTTCTAGGGCACGGAACTCCTCCGCCAATTGGCTTCAAAGCGTCGGATACATATTTGAACTCGGATACCCAGCCTTCAACTGGTTTCAGTGTCCTCAGTACCACTGACCATATCGCAGCGTACTCCGACACTGTACGACCGGGTCATCCCTATAGTACACTTACCAGTTCTACGGTGTATCCATATTCAAATCATCCGTGTCATACATCCGGTCCTGCCTACTCAAACCATCCATCCAGTCCGAGCTATCCATCCACATGGCCGGCCCCTCGTAATCCATCTGGCCATGCCTCACAGGTCCTAAACTCGAATTATGCAAATTTTGGTGCGGGATATGGATGGGATCCATCCGCACCACCAGCAACTGGTAACAGATATGGACGTTACCGCACGTTGCAACAGCAGTTCGATAGCGCACATTTAGGTAGGTAACCGGTTGTGTATTTCTGGAACATAAATTTCTATGTCCAGTGCTGTTCTTCCGTTCCGCCGCAAAATTCGAATAGAGCGGTTTTGTAAAGAAATGCATATAGAAGAGGTTGTGCTCCCTCTTTACCTCTCTCCCCATCCCAGAAAAAATCCATTCGGTGACCAAGAGAACTTTCAGCCGTGGGCATTATTCTGCCCTTAGCTGTCGCCAGAATTACTCAGCTGGAATAAAAAATAAGAAAAAAATAATCAAAGTTTGCAATGATTTAAGAAAATTTGAATTATTTTAAAAAGATGTAGGTGAAGTGGGAATTGATTAATTTTATTCATGTATAGAGGAAAGCGAAGTAAAGAAAAAACTAAACAAAAATCTTTCAGTCCACCAAACATATACATTTTTATTATGCCTTTTTGCTGTGCAGCACTATAGCGCTGCTACAGCAAGCAAAAGCACACACTGTCAAGAGGTCGTCTATGTGTATTTTCGGAAGCGAGTGAGTTTTGTCACCCACTTTCAACTCAGCAACCAGGAAAGCTAAAATTTTGGGGACATATTCCCACACCGTGTGTCACCCTCCCGATTTAAAATCTTCGCTCATACCGGCCTAGATCTCACGAACGGACCCCTGAAAATATGCAAATTGCTTTAGCGGAAAACAATTTGCGAAACAAACAAGATAGAAAGCTGAAACTTTGCAGGAATGTTCTTTGTGCATATGCGAGCTAATGATTTCAAATCCAGCTGTCGCGTACATTCACGTCAAAGTTCGCAGTTGGCCCTGTGCTAAAAAACTAGCCGGAAAACAGTAGCTGGAATTTTTTTAGAAAGTTTATCATTCATATGGGAAATCGTATACCTAAACTGAGTTCTGATTTGCACTTGCGCCACGACTTTGGGCACTTCAAAAATATTTGGGCGAGGTGGCTATTTCGCTTACCAGGCAAGCTGCAAAGCTGGAACTTTGCAGGTATATTCTATATTCATGTGTGGTCTTAATTCAGCTTGGGGGTAGACTTCCATCAACGCATACATGACAAATACTTAATTTTATTGCAAACTCGAAAGTGAGTGCATTTTGCAGATTTTTTAGTCCTCTCCCAACCTCCTTCAAATTTCCATTTTTTCAGTAAACGAGCATTCATCGGAAACACAACCGGGCTTCATGCGAAAAACTGATAATTATGAAAGCTGGAGGTCCACGCGACCCCATAATGCAACATCATCCCAGTCGGTGCCCTTTTCCTTGCATGCGGGAAGAGGCCAAAACTCAGCTAATATGAGTCTAAGTGTTAAAGTACAGCGCAGGAACCATTTCTACTGTTAGTGATCTACAAATTTAACGCAAAAACGCATGATTACACTGGCAAGCCCGGTGCGTTGCAGTCTAGGTTTAGTACTACGGCTGGACTTCAGCACGACGGTTATAATAACAAGTAAATTTAACAAAATAAAAATGAATATGTTGCATAGAATTTGTTGAACGAAAACTAAAACAGGCTAAGAACTGCTAACGTTTTCTGGGCAGTAGAAAAAAGTCTGTGTATGGATTGTTGCTTCTGGATCCTATCTTCGTTTCGCACTAGCACTCATTCAACCGTTTCACTCGTGTAAATGCCTGTTTTCAATCTATTCTACACGTTAGTAATTGAAAAGTCATTCCTGCACAAATTATTAGAAGAGTTTCAACTTCCTGGATAGAGGGACTTTTCAGTTGGAGTATGCACATTGCCAGAAACTCTTCAATTTTAAAAGGAGGAAATATAAATCTGTCTTCTTGAATGTCGCAAAATTTTCAAGATCTCGAACACCTAACTCTGAAACTACTTTGTTTTCTTATGTCTTTTTGTGTCTGTGAATTCTTAATCCTAGCTATGTAATACTACAAGGCCATTGACTGAGGAAATCGATTGAACGGAACCGCCGATCATCGATTTGTTTACATACGTGTCGCGCTTTTCAATCGTTACAACAGTCTCTCATGGCGAAGAACTCCCCTCGCTCTCAATGAATGCTCTGGCCTTAATGCTTTAATTTTTATAGAAACGGGAAAAGGGAAGAATCAGCGAAAGAAAATTTACTACCAGCAAAAAAGGCCCCCATGAATCATTTTCTGACAGCTTTGCTCACACACACCAACGTATTTTTCGTTTTCGGTGCTTGAAGTACGATCCCTGAAAGTTGCTTCAGTGCTTAGCGATGTCTATGAGGTGGAAAAGTTTAATGACTAATCTCGAGAACATACTATCCGTTAAATCCACTACCAGGACCGTCTAAGCAATAAGTGCATGCATCTCACATTAGCGATCTTGCTGAGATGCTCCCACAAGTCAAGTACAACCATGCCAGGCGCTTCGATCTTAGACTGCACACCTCCAGCTAATACCCGCCACCTGTTCAACGTGTGTGCGCCACCTCTTCGGGAGCTGTTAGAGTGTCGGTTTCTTTCTCGCAAGTACCACCCACTAATGTATCTTGAATCCAATAAATCTAGGCACCACCACAATGACGAGTATTTCAGCGTGATCTCCATCACAGGAAGGCGTATGGAAAATGATATATCGGCAGACAAAAGTTTTGCTTTTAAAGCTGCTTTCACTGGCCTATTTTACCTTTCGCTTCCAGCCCCCTGATTTCTTGTTAATTTCTTTTGCGTTGGGAAGAAAGTCATATCTTTTGCTTGCTAGAAAAAAATCCTGAACTTGTTGCTAAGTTACGGAGTAGGTTTTTGCCTGGTATTTTAAATTCCTGCCCGTCTTCTGTTACTGCTCTTCAGAAGTCTTCAAAAGCAGCTGATATTTCCTTGAGTATTATTAAAGTAAGGTATGCAGAAACTGTTGTATTTACGAAGTCCCACAGTTTTTTCTTAACGAGAATTGTTTTACTGGCTACTTTACTCCAGCTCCCTGGGTGTCTCGCATTCATTCCTAACTTTTGACTCACCGCTGTAGCTCCTTGCGCCATAAGTTTTTGTTCTTTATTCCTGCACAGTGCACCATTTTGCAGTAACTTAATAGCTGAACACTAGCCCAAATTTTGTCCGCCCATTTGTTTGTTTTCCTGTCCGTCAGCTTGTTTTTTTGCTTGCTGCTCGTTTATTTGTTAAACTATCTGCCGGTTTATTTTTCCACCCACCATGTTTGTTTTTTTATGCCTTTCAAATCGCACTCTAAACATCCAGTGCTGTCCATCAATAAATTTGTGGGCCCTAAATCATCCCTCCATTTTCCCTTTCGCCGAAAGAGCGGTCAAGCGTTCAGTTGATAGAAGCTAGGAATAACCAAGTGATTGGTGACTCAATCATTCGCTTGTTATCATCGCTAGCTTTAAAAAAGAACGAGTGTGCATTTTTCTGGCAAACATAATCGATCCTTAATCCGTGCTTATTTTTTTGAGCGCTGAACAAGCATATGATCTCAGACAGATCGGCTCAGTTTATTCAACTGTAATTTAAACTGAGTCCGTATACAAGTGTCCATCTGTTTTCGGTAGACGAATAGGCTCCAACTGTGGCCAAAAAACCGAACCAGCTATCGTGGTCGAAAATCCCTCATACATATAGTTCAAGCTCACAAACTGATTGTGCTTTCAGTGGCAAAACTAACAAAAAAATATCAAAAGCCGGTAGGGTTGGAGAATATTGTTTCTTCAAAATCTGATCACAGCCATTAATTATGCGTTTTAGCATATTTGTTGCAATAGCAACCCAGGCTGGAACGCACCAGGCGAGCCGGTGCGATCATGCGTTTTTGCACCAGACTTAAAATAT